GTCGACTGTGGGTGTGACACAGCTCAAGGATCTGACGCAACGTGAAAATTTGATCAATACATCCACGGTCAGGCCGGAATTCGGCTCGCTGTTCATGGATATTGATTCCTCTTGAAGGCGTCAGACGTCGAGTTCAGCACTTTGGCGACAGTCGGGATCAAAATTATCCCGCGGTGATGTTTGCACCCGTTGCGAGATCTTTTCTTAAAATGGGAACGATCATTGATTCATCCCAAATTTTGCGTATAAGAGTAGTAATGAAGCTTACGAGGTTATCACCAACCATCTTGAAAAGGGTTGAAGGGAACTCATCCGGTCCTGCTGTCTTTACTCGCTTCAGAGCTTNCGCGAGGCACTGCCCACGGAGTTTCAGTTACAGATGAAGCAGAATCGTACTGGTTGCTCCTTAAACTAATCTTATTTGACTCTTCTAGTCATCTAATAGTGGATAAACAATTAACCAGCAAAATACCAAATTATTGCATCCATTTAAGAGTTAGAGCCTATTTTCTGGTATAGCTATCGTTCCTTAAGAGTTTCGTTTGCAGTTCCCAACCAAAAGCTCCCCTTTCATTGCATCCGGTGTAGATAAATTCTCTTCTGATGCGCCGTGGTAAACATATCCAGAACATTCATTTGTCCTTCGTGGTCGATCTTAAGTAGTCCAACGACCAGAAGATATTTAACAGTTTGAATTCTCGAAAGTTTGGTTACCCCAGCAACTGTGCATAGGTGAACGTTTTTTTAATTACATACTTTCTTGTGCTGAACAGCAGACGGGGTAAATCCCATAGTCACGAGGACCTGCTGTTCAGTGATGGAAACCGGTGGCGGGGCTAGAACCTCGGAACTTAAGGTCTAAAGCACACCGGTGACAGCGACTAAACCATTGCTCCACCACCACCCTATAGAATCACTTTACTCCTGTTAAGTACGGACGCAGGATGCAAACAGCATCTTAAATGAATTTACACGATTAAGTGATCTAAAAACGAATTTCAGTATGCTTCACGCTGATTCACAGTAATTCTATGTTTATACACGAGTTTTGAGAGTTTGGCTGTAGGAAGGTTTGAAACTCTTTCTTTGTCTAATTATCAAAGTGTGAAACTCTCTTGGAGGTAGTTTATTGTGTGGCATATCCTATCAATTTACTTACAACGTTTTTGTTGACGTTTATTGGTGACTTTCACGAGTTACACTAGTTTATATTCAAAAAAGGAAACTAAAATGTGGTGTGACATCCCAAGCTTCAATTTTGAGACAATTCTGTTCGACCTGTATCGTTGCCTGCAGCTTGACGTTCGGTGTTCGTATACATGACTGAACAATTAAAAAAAACAGTAAAAATATAACTATTCAGTAGTATTGTGGGAGATTGCCAAAATAGTGTGTGCCATATACAGATTTATATTCTCGTAAAAGGATTGGTTCTAGGGTTGATTATCATCACCACCACAAGTAGCAGCAGCTTGCGGGAGCTGTTTCATGATGTGTCTACCAAAAAGGGAAATAACCAGCAATCCGTGTAGGGTTTTTTACTCTTGATTTACAAGTGTTCTTTTTCTGTATCCTGTTTGATCGAAATAAGCGATCTAATACAAGCAACATAGTGGCACGCAAATCCAAGTTGTGAAATTATATAGTCGTGTAAAAAAACTGGTCAAAACTTGGAATTTAACAGCGATCCGGAGGTTAGAAATCTCATTTGGTTTTACGTTTAGACAGCTTTCTCCCATTTGAAGATCAGTAGGCTTGCGGGAGAAGACGTGAAGAATTAATGGTATCCGATACACAGTGGAATCCCTAACATCACACGTTTTTATGACTCATTGTTCATGCACAGATGATTGCTACATGTGAATCGACAGGATAACGGTGGGAGTCTCGTTTGGTGGTCGCCTAGATAAGCTCACTCCACGATGCCCTCTACGGACATTTGTGACTTTTTACTGTATAGGAATTGCTTTTGAGGTGAAAACCCTCAACACGTCCATAAGTGTCGTCTGTGAACATCCACAAACACTTATTGAAGGAAAAAAACGATCGCCCCTATTCACAGTCGATTGCCTAAGAGTTTGTTGTCTTATCCGCCAACCGGAGACGTGATTTTTGCAAACAACTCCACTGGAAAAAGTTCTTATGGTGAAAATATCTTCCGTTTTCTTAGATCCAATGATCCTGTAATGAATTTGAACGGGCAAGTCAGATAAGGAACACTATCCGATGAATTCCTCTCATATTATCTAATAGGTCACATCCTTATAAAAACAAACATGATGGAAAAAATATGAAATGAATTAAGAAATTCAGTTTGGTTTTAGAGCTCATATGTGTGCGTGTGGTTGCACATGACTGGGCATAGCCAGGGTAGGCCAAGCTTATAGATCATAAACTTTTATACACTGTTTTTACAACCATTAACCATGCAGTTTCATGCACCGGTTTTGGTTGTTCTCTCATGACTTCCCATTTGGATGAAGAAGTAAAGGGAAGATTGGAATGTTCAGCGTTAGAGTGAAAATAGAGAGCTCATGAAGGCTAAGGTTGCAAGGATAATGAGTGGATGTACGAGCACCG